CCCCCCGCGGGGCCCCACGGACCCGGCGCTGGCTGAGCTCGAGAGCTTCTCGGCCGAGATGATGAGCTTCAAGTCAATGGAGGACCTGGTGCAGGAGTTCGACGAGAAGCTCACTGTCTGCTTCCGCAACTACGACGCCGCCACCGAGGCGCTGGCGCCCGTGCGGGGCCGCCTGCAGGCCCAGGAGGAGGAGGAGCGCCTCCAGGACGAGGAGTGAGTAAGGTCCCCGACCACCGGCAACGCACCCAGCAGGGCCCAGCACCATGGCCTGGTGGTGGAGTAAGCTATGGGGAGCAGAGTGAACCATGAGTAGCGGTGGAGTAAGCTATGAATAGCGGTGGAGTGAGTCGTGAGTCGGGATGGAGTGAACCATGAGTTGCGGTGGAGTAAACTATGAGTGGCAGTGAAGTAAACTTTGGGTTATGGTGTAGAAAATTATGGGGATGTTGTAACTATGAGCAGCAGCGGAGTGAACTCCGAGTGGCGGAGGCATGAACTATGAGTACCGGCAGAGTAGAGTGATTACGGGTGGCATGAACTGAGTAGCAGCAGAGTAAGCTACGAGCAGCGTTGGAGGGAACTGTGAGTGGCATTGTAGTAAGCTGTGAGCGGCGTTGTAGTGAACGATGAGTCGCGTTGTAGTCAACTGAGAGGTGGTGGAGTGAACGATGAGTCGTGTTGTAGGAAACTGAGTTGCAGCTGAGTAAACGATGAATGGTGGTGGAGGGAACTATGAGTTGCAGTGTAGTAAGCTAAGTCACATTGTGAACAGTGGCAGTGAGGTAAACTGAGTTGCAGTGGAGTGAATGATGAGTGATAGCGTAGGAAACTGAGTCCCGGTGTAGGAAACTGAGTTGCAGTTGTGTAAACGATGAGTGGTGGTGGAGGGAACCATGGGTCGCGGTGTAGTAAGCTAAGTCGTGTTGTAAAGAGTCGCGGTGGAGTGAATTATGAGTGATGGTGCAGGAAACTGAGTTGCAGTTGAGTAAACTATGAATGAAGGTGGAGGGAACCGTGAGTGGCCCCAGCCACAAAACGCACCAAATCCTGCCCCAGCGGCGCTTGTGTGAAAACGCATGGTTTTTGTTCCAGTGGTTTTGGGGTGGGTTTTTTGTTAGTTTTTTTGTTTTTTTGCTGAAAAGGGCCATTTTATGCAAATTTTGGCGGGGCTGCTCAATTTGTGCCTGTCCCGCACGGGGTGGGGGGGTTTGCCTGACTGAGGCCGGGTTCTGGGTTGCAGCCCAAAATGCTCATTTTTCTCTGAGCAACACGGTCAGTTTTCACCCAAAAGCCCCCATATCCTGGCTTTCTGCACCCAAATGCCCTTTAGCCTGATTGCTTTTTGTAAGCAGCCGAATCGGTGGGGTTTCGTAGGAAAAAAGAAATGGGTTTTTGGCCCGGTGCCTGGAGCGCCGCCATCGCCGCTTTGTGCTGCTTAGTGTGTTGTTTTGGGTCAGTTTGGCCAAAATAGGGCTTTTTTTCCTCAGTTTTGAATGAGCTCTGTGTGCATGGGGGGGGG